AGACTGCAGAGTCCCATGTCACCTGTCAGAAGTCCAGTTGCTGTTGCAGAAGTGGCTGCTGAAGTGCCCAGAGAGAGGCAGGAGGAAAGCAGCTCTGAGCAGACTGAAGGCAGTAGAGCACAGAGTTTGGAAGGGAACCATGAATGGTCTTTTGCCTTTGAACAGATTCTGGCATCCTTATTAAATGAGCCAGTCTTTGTGAGATTTTTTGAAAAACCTCATGACATAAAAGCTAAAATAGAGAGTGCTAAAAATGCACAACTTAAAGCAAGAGCCAGGGTGTAATTTTCTGTACATTTGACTCTGAATTAATCACATAAAGTGCTTACAAATGAAGGCTGTAACTATGGAAATCAAGTCTGGTGATGATAAAGGAAATGAAGTTTGAAGAATTAGCTTCAAGTATCAGATTACTGGTATGTAATGTAAATAAAAATAGTTTGAAGCACAGTCACTTTCTTGCATTGTTCATAAGTTTCACTCCAAAATAGGGACTGAATAATGAACTGCCTTTACTGTGTTATTAAAACATGCAGCATTGCTTGGAGATACTGGATGTGTACCTGTTGCAAACCTGTCTGAATCACTGTTAGAGTAGGTGTTCTCCAGGTTCTTTTCTATTACTGTGATATAAGGAATTACTTTTTCCCATTTTCACTTCAAAGGAGTGTCAACAGCTTAGAGGTGGTCTTCCACATTAATTAGTTTTTTCCAAATTGCTTGTGGACTGGGGCCAAAGCAGGGTGAAGACTAAGAACAGAGGCTGTGGTAGCATGACAGGACCATGAGACTAGAAAAGGAAGTTGCCCTGCTCACAATTCCTCTGCTTTGATGTTACCCAAGGGTCTGGACTCCAGTAGATTCCAGTCCCTCTTTCCCATTTTCATACCAATCCTCCTACAAAGAAAAGGTGAAAATGATGGAGGCTTATTTGGTCATCCAGGCTGCACAAGGATGCAGAAACTAATACTGATTGTTTAAAATCAAGGGAAAGTGGTGGCTAAATCTGTCTGACCACATGGTGGTTGTAGTTTATCTGGCAAAAGGAGACATTGTTGGCTTCTTAGGAGCATGTTGATGAAATGTGGAGTTTTGCTGGTGTTTGGAAAGCCCAAGCACAGGCAATCTGTAGCTGAGTGTTGACTATTGAGCTGCTTAGAGACGGATTGCAGTTGCTTCTTTGCCTACCCTGAGTCTGTGTCTCAACCCAGTAATTACTATTGCTTTTCTATAGCACTCTGGACTGTTGCTGCTGGAATATTTTCTATTTGTCAGGATTCAAGGCAACAAGAAAATCCCCTTGAATCTGACTTGAAATTTTTAATATGTAAAATACGATATAGTAGAGATCCTGTGGAGGAAAGCTCTGCCAGTGTAAAAGCTGAGAAATGTTGACCTTGAATCTTTGGTAGCTGATGCTAGAAGAAATTTAGAGAAGGAGGGTAAGAACTTGTATTTTAACAACAATATCAAAGTATGTGGGGAGTCTTGCTAAACTAGTTTAAAACATTTGTTTCCAAAGCCTGTATGACAATCTTTCTCTGCAGAGCAGCATTATTTTTATACTGTGCATGTTTTTTTAAAGAAGCAGAATGGGGATGGTATCTTTCGGAGGCTTTTTGTGCAATACTAGTGTGAATGAAGAATAAAACAAATTTCTGACTTGTGTTGCAGGCACTTTGTGAAATGCCATCATTGCAGTTGGTGTTAAATTTATGAATTATGTCTTACACTCTCCTCAATACTCTCAGGTATTAATGTAAAATAAAGTTTTACTGAAGAAGTCCAAAAGCTGTATCATATATGTGGAGAATGAGGAAGCTTTTTTCAGAATCCTTCACAAAGTAATTGCAGTTGATACAATATTCTGCTGATTTGTATTTTTATGTATGAAATATAAAAACTAATTTATCCATTTATGTGGATATGGATAGGGCCACACTGTATTACTTTTTAAAAATGTTTTCACAAAGTTGTTCAGAAATACAAAGCAGATAATGTTTTCCTAGTCCAGGATGTACCCAGATAAGGTTTGATCAGTGAGTAATTCTGCAAATAGCCACGATTAAACTAATGCAGCCTCATAAGAATAGATACAGCTGCCCATACCAAAAGCTTTTGTTGGTTTGTGAGAGATACTGTTTATGTCAACAAGTAGCCAAAGCTGTGAACTATTTGCTAATGAAAGTAACAGAGATATGAAAGTCTTAAAACTCAAGGACTTTTTTGACTGAGAGCCAAGATGTGAAGATCTAAGTGCAGAAGAAGGTGAAGGAACTTGCAAAGTACAGCAACCTTCTGTTGTTACCTGGTTGTAAAAAGGTGCTCAGTTTGTACAATGCCCTTTTCTGTTAGTGCCCACCCAAGAGACTGTAGAGCCTTTGCCAGCTGAGTAGTAGCTCTTGTCAGATGTCATATCCATGTATGAAGAGCATATATATCAAAATAGATTTAAGGCTATGAAATCTAACTTTTATTAACTGCATGGATTTATTTATTAAATCTATTTATATTTTTTCCCAAAAGGGGTGGTGCCTTTAAATTGTTCCTGTAATACACCTGCAGGCTGATCCAGGAAAACTAGTCACAGTGACCAGGCATCCAGTCTCAGCAGGATGGAGGGTGGAGTGAGGTCACTTCCAGTAGGCTGGCAGCACTCAGGCAATGGCCCAGCTGGCAGGTTCTTCCTTTTGGAACCTCTGGATCATGAGCTGATTGTTTGGGGAGAGGTAGATGTAGCAAGTGCCAGTGATTTCCAAGGAGTGTAACCCAGAGGTGTTTGCTGAGCTAGTACCTCAGTGTACCATAGGCTGAGCTCTGCTTGTGCCAGAAGAACTCTGGAGTTAGTGTCTAGCTTCTTACCTTCCCTTTCTTATTCCAGCTCCTTGCATCCCTATTCCAGACAGGCTGGCTAACAGATAGATGCAGGTTTAGCTGGGCTGGTGGAGTTAAAGCAACAGTAGATCATTCCCTTCCTTCATTCCTGGAGAGCAATGCCTTGGCTTCAAAGCCCTGCAGAGTCAAGGACAGAGATCTCTGTGCTGTGCTGCTTCTTGGCCAGGTGAAGTTGGTGATACAGAGATGGCCCCAGACTCCAGTCACATCACCTGAGGGTGCTGGGTGTGCACATGAAGAGGAAGCAGCTTGGTTAAGTGAATTGTTGTGTCATTTCACTCGCCTGTGTTATGTTTTTTCTGTAACTTTCCACGAAGTTTTCTGCCTTTATTTTCAGGTTCAGTCATAGGAGATAAATGAAGGTGCATCATTCAGTACAAAATAGACACCTGTAGATTGCTACAACCACTGATGCTGTTTGTCCAGCTTGACAATTGCAGTGCCTGCTGCAGTGTGACTGGGCAGCTGTGTCATGGTCACCCTGCCACACTGGCAGTGCCTGTGGGGGACAGTGCACAGTCCCTCCTTGTGCTGGGCCGTTGTTGCTGTGTGCTTAGATGCCTTTTGTCAGAGCTAACCAGTAGCCTGGGGACACAGCCAGCAGAGCTGTGATGTTCCCGGTCTTGCCATATGGAATGTGCTGCTCTGGAGCCTGACTGCTCCCTGCTCTGGGTGACCAGTGACAGCCCTGACCCCCACATGGAACTGCCTGCTTGGCCTCTGTGTGCCAGCTCGGGGCTTGGGCATGTGAGGGGAGGGAATAGCTCACATAAGAAACATACCAGCTCTTTCCACCATGGGGGACAACTGATGATAATTAAACCGGTAGCATTTTCCAGGACATGGAAGTGGCTGCTGCCATGTGATACAGAAAAATCACTTTCTGTTTCCATCAATTTCTAAAACAAGCCACTTGTTCATCACTCTAATGGCTAAATAATAATGTAATTTTAAAAGAGTTTGCTACTGTAGTGACTAAGAAATAGCTGTGTGTTGATTTTATCAGAAGTTTCTCATCCAATTGTACCATACAAGGTTCTTGATTGTGATTGCTGTTGTTATCTGGACTAAAACAGAAGGAAATACTCTGACTTGTTTCCAGAAAAATAGGCTATTTTGTCTTTTTTGCTATAGCTTTGTCACTTTACCAAGACGGCAGCACATTTGTGTTGACAGATTGGCTTTTATACAATGTGTTGTATGCAGAGGTACTGTAAGACAAATGGGGTGTTAAATAAAATATTGTTTCCCTTAAGTAAAAAACCCCTGTGTTTGAGGCATTATTTCCTATGATGGCCTGCTGTGGAAGTTCCTTCAAGAGTGTTCGTCATGTTAAAGCCACATTTAGTCAGTGCTTTGCAAAACAAGGAGCAAGCCAAAGCTCCTTTCCTCCCAGAAGAGGAGGAAAGCTCAGGATTTTGAAGCCTGAGCTAGCTTCAGTGCTGAGCTGCTGAGTACAGCTTTGTCCATCCAAATACAAACACAGTGTGCAGACCCTGATGCCTTGTTCTTTCTAATTTATGTGTTGCTCCTCTTGCCTCTGGCACTGGTCACGGAAATCCCAGTTCTTGTCCTGAGCCCCGTCCCCTCAGCTGTCCATGTGCATGGACACAGTGGCTGCTGCTCTTGCCTGTCCTGCAGAGTAGGGATCAGATCCCTAACAGACCCACCCCACCCAGGGAATAACAAGAGTACATAGTGTGTAAGAGGTCCTACAAGTATTATTTTATTTCTTCTTAATTTTTTTTAAATACTATGTACAATCTGTTTAAAGCTTGTCAAAATGCATGGGCTCCCATTCAATGGAGCTCTGCAGGGACATAGATTCAAAACAAGAATAAAATCTTTACTGTTCATCTTCATAAGACACTTACTTTTTCCCATTACAAAATACTTTTAAGAATAGTAACATTTATAAATGTATTTATATTCAACATCATATAAAATAAACCAAGATTTATACTCAATTCTAGAGTTTTTCTTATTTTCTTTTTTTTTTTCCTTGCGTGGACTATATACAATATATACAGTAACTTCTCATTGTGTTTGTCAAATCAGCCTGATTATACCCACCAGGCTTTAGCTTATATGTACAAATATGCTAAAAGTGCAAGACTTTATTATTTAAAGCTGCCTGTGTTTTCAGAGGTCTGGAATTGTGTGGCCTATATATATTTATATAGAGATATACATCTGCATACATATAAATGTATATTAAAAATATGTATATCTATAGATAGTTATGGTATATAGGTACTTGTGTACTAGAAAACCTCAGAACATTTATGACTGATAGGTCAACACCGACACTGGAGGCCAACCCTGCTGCCATCAGTCACATCCCTGCCCTCTGCTCGTCACCAACAAGTCACACTTACGTTTTCTTGTAAAAGGCTGGGGGAGTGAACCAAACCCACCAGCAACCCTCAATTCCAAATGAGTCATAAAAGCACAGGTCATAGCTAACACCGAGGTAAACAAATACAAATCAACCTGAATAAAGAGATTTTTTATCCATCTGTTTTTTTGAGATTGACAATATAAGGCAAAACCCCCCGGCCCTGACTCAGCCTTGCCCTTGGCTGCAGGCAGACTGAGCAAAGACCCAGCAAGCCCCGAAAGGGTCGGTGGGATTTTGTCCTTTGGAACATGTTGAGAAAACAAGGCCCTGCCCGTGAGGCAGTGCCTGGGACGTGCAGCCCCCACCCACCAGCAGCGAGGCCAGCGGCTGGGGGGGCTCTGGGAATAAGGGGGCGCATGATAAAGTGCGTTTTTAGGTCTGGTTTTAGCAAGGCTGGTCTAACATGTAAACATCCTCACCAAGCTCCTGTGCTCCTCACTGGGAGCTGTGAGCAGGGGCTGTGCCCCCAGCCCTCCGTCCCTGCAGCCCAGCTGCCATCAGCAGGGCTGTGCCCAGGGCTGGGCCCTGTCTGGTGCACCCACTGCCCCCCACCTCCCCCAGAACCCCTTCCCAACTCTATTTTGTTTTTTTGGACTCACTGTCAAAGCCACAGCAATGCCAGAAAACTGCTCTGCCTCAGCTCTGTCTCTACCAAGCCCTGTTAAAAAATACACCCCTCAAGGCCCTGACCCCAGCCATTTGATTGCCACCTGCCATGGCTGGGTGTGGTGGTGGGGCACTGCAGACCAGCCTTGGGGATGTGTTGGGGTGATGCCGGTTTAATGGGGAAGCCAGGGAAATCACAGCCTTTCCCTCCAGCCAGCCACCCTGAGCCACAAACTGTGCAATGCTGGAGCCCTAACACAGATATATGTTTGCCTCCCCTCTAATGGTATGTGCCAAGGCTATGGTGGGAAAAAATCCCACAAACAACTCCCAAAAATACAACCCCCTCCTACCACATCCTCATGAGCAACCCGGCTGCCTTAGAATGGGGAAAAGGAGACCCTGAAACTAATAGTGCTTTAAAAACAAGTGTTCCTGTCCTGAAGGCTCTGTGCTGGCCCTTCCTGCAGAACAAACCTGCAGAGCAGCAAAGCCCCAGGTGTTAATATTTCAGCCCCAGATTGCCCCACAGAGGCAGGTGTTCCAAATGCCACTACCAGCAGTGAGGTGGCCCTGGCCCATGGCTCTGCTGTAGCCACCAGTTCTCATCCTGGTTTGAAATGGAGGGGCTGGCTCAGACTGTGTCCAAGAGCAGCTGCGTGGCTGCCCAGCACCCAGGGGCTGCATGTGCTGGGTGGGCAGGGGCCCAGCCAGGGACTGTGCTGACAAGGCATGAGCCCCAACAATGAACCCCAAGCTCTTGGGCATCTCATTGCCTCCATTCTGTGGCCAGCTGCATGCCCCAGAACACTGCATGTGGCCAGCTGCATGCCCCAGAACGCTGCATGTGAGCAGCGCTGCAGCCCAGGATCCATTGTGTCTGGTAGCCCTGGGAGCTGTGCATTCAAAGCCAACCCCTGCACCTGCTTCTGCCCAAGGGAGGCGACCCATGAACAGCCAGGGGTTGGCACAGCTTTTGTTCACAAATCCACCTCTGCGCTGGCCAAAACATCAAAGCACCCTAGGGCATTGCACCAGTCTCTGAAAGCTCCTGGCTGGCCCCAGCTCCAGCAGCCTTTCCTCCCACTGCCACTCCCCAGGCAATGTGGCACAGCAAAACCCCATCCCCTTGCCCAGGACAAGCTGCTGGGAACAGCCCCTGGTGCTGTGCCCTTTTCTTGAAACACAGGGCTGCTGGCAGCTGCTTGTGCCACAAGCTGCTCCACCAGCAACACCAGGAACACCAGCTGCTGCAGCGCTGCAAGGCGCCCAGGACGGGGCTTGCAGAAGGAAAAGAAGGAAACAAAAAAACCCCCAAATCATCATATTGGAAAAAAAAAAAAAAAAAAAAAGGCAAAACCAAGCATTCTTTACTAGGTTTCAACAGACATTAGGAACTAAACATTAGGAACTAACTCCTCTCTAAACCTTGCTCTATCTGCCAGCTAGATCTTTACTGCTAGATGGACCTGGTCCTAACTACCCACTGCCTTCACTGCCTTGCAAAGTTTATAGTAATGGCCAAACCCATCTACATTTGGGCTCTAACAATGCCCAAAGTTAGTACTCAGCTACTAACACTCCAAAAATGTACTTTTAAATTTTTCCTTTGGAAAGACACAAACAGTAGGGACACTTAACTATACACCCACTGAGGAATAAACTGGCTTTTCAATTCATAAATATAAACTTACAGTTAAAAAGTGACAATTTACAAAAATACAATTTATTGCTGACCCTATGGGCTTGTAACATCGTGTGTGTTGTGATTATACATTTTGGGTTTGCCAAATTGAAACATGACCTAGCAAAACCACAAAGTTTGCTGTCATATGCTGTTCTATGCATGTTTGTTTGTTTTTATGAATAGAAACATTTACAACTACATCACTTGAAACAAAAAAAAAAAAGGAGTAAAGATTCTTTGTCTGTAACCTGAAAAATATTTGGCTACAGGGAGTAAAAACCATACAAATTTATCTTCACTGTTAACCAAAAATAAAACATGACAAATATTGAACTAGCTGCGATGTGAGCTGGTATAACAACAGTAAGAAATTCAGGCAAAAGTGGTGTTATGTAAATTAGCAGCATTATCCAAACTCCTGGAAAAAAAACCTGCGGGACTGAGGTATAGAAAAAGGAAAAAGAATTCACAATGGACCTACTACAGCAAAACGAGTTATGTACATGGTAATCCAATGGTGTCCTGTGGACTGGTACAGTCTATGTGCTCCAAATGCTGGGCTTAAATTCACAGTGACTTTCAGCATTGAAGTCCTGAATGGAAAAAGGATTTTTTCCATTGCAAACCGAGCTTCGTGACGGCCTGATACTCCCCTCCCTGCAGCAAGACAGCCACCGCTTCCAGTGGCACCACGGCGCTGGGCCAGGGCACACCCTGCTGCCAGAACAGCATCAGGGGCTGGCTGCACGGAATGCCAACAAACGAGGCCCCTGCAGCCATGCAGCCCTGTCGGACCACCAATCCCTCCAGGCACCACGTCCCCACGGAGCCCGACCTCTCCCGTGCCGTGCTCTGCCGGCGCCGTGCTCTCCCGCGCGCCACGCGCAGCGGCCGCAGCCGTGTGCTCCTCGTCTCCCAGAAGCCACTTTCAGGGCAGCTGCATCTCGGGCAGGTCAGGCAGGTTGCAGGGCTGGCCCTGCGTGTGGTGGCTCTGCTGCTGCGGGTGGAGGAAGTAGCTCAGGGGGTTCTGCTGCGGGGTGTGGGGCGGCTGGAAAATGCGCGGCGTCGGAGCCCCCGGCACCAGCTCAGGACCTTGCATCTGTGGGGAGACACAAATCTGAGCAGTCAGACCTGCCCCTTCAGCCAGCTGTCCCTCTCGTGCTGCAGGGCTGATGCTGAGACTCATGCCCTGGACTGTGTGCACCAAGTCCTAAACTGGAGCTGTGCTCCACAGGATGCTGCTGCTGTCAGCAAAACCAACAATGCCTGGAGAGCACAGGGGGAAAGCAGGACCCATCTTCCTAACTGGCTCTGGGGAGCCCAGTGGGAATGGAGACCTACAAAAGCTACTTGGAGGTACAATCTGCAGGATGTGCAACTTTAATCTTTCACAGGAAAGATCTTCAGACAACCAAGGAAGAGGTCTTAGAGTAACCATGTACCCGCCCATGCTGGTACCGCAAAGACCTGGACTTGCTGTTTTCCCCCCCTGTTAAAGGCACTGTGTCATCAAACTCTGGTTTACTGTGGCCCTGGAGCTCTTTATCTGTTCCAGCATCATGATTCTGCTGTCCACACTGCTGGTGCTCAGGACAGCAATGCAGCCCATGAGGACACACCCAAAGCAGGGACAGCTCCTGCCCAGACTTGCTGATAACAGCGATTCATTTCTCACTTTAAATCCAGTCCTGCTGCGTGGCTGCTTTCAGCCCAGCCTACTCCTCTTGCTTTCTTTTCTGTCTTTGCCTGGAGGACTGTAACTTAACCTCTGCCATCCAGGCAAGGCTTCGAGAGCATGTTACTGATGAATTATTAGTTTCAACAACCCCTTTCCTTGGTGGTGTCACTAGTTCAGCATTTACTGATGTAAACTGTGTGCTAAAAAACAAAAATCACCTCGTCCAGAGATGTGTGTTGTGAAATACCTTTTTTTTTAAAAGAAAGCTGTGATGGCAGCTGATAAAAACCTTGCTCTGATGAGATGTAACAGCAGGAGGTATGTTTTCCAAAGATCTTCTCTCATCATTTTTCATTACTACAGCAAGCTTTCCACCAGAGCTCCTCTGGATGAAAAGCTGTGTTTGAAAAACAGGGTATTTCTTCTGTGCACTGTGTGATAACAGAGTTTGTTGGAAAATATGGCCTTGAGCAGGTGCAGAGTCAGCCTGGAAAGGCTGAGCACCTGGCTGTGTGGAGATACAATGGGAGCAGAGGATGTGCAAAGGCCCTGACCAGGTTTGATCAGCCAGATAATCCCCATTTCTTCCAAAAACCCCAACCCATCCCTAAGCCATCCCCGTGCCTCCTCAGAAAGCTGCTTCTGCTGCAATACCTGAAGGTAGAGGCGGTGCTGCTGAACCTGCTGCTGTGGCCACTGGTGCAGATGAACGGGTGTGCTGGCCTGCTGGGAGGTGAAGCTGCCGTGCGGGATCACCAGGGGCGGGGAGAAGATGGGCGGCGGGGCCGGAGCCCGGGCGCTGCTGCAGGTGGCCGGCTGCCCCTGGGCTGGGGGAGGCAGGGTCTGCTGCTCTGCAACAAACCTGCCACAAGGAGGAAAGCCAGGCGTGAGAAGCCACACCCAGAGCCACCCTCAGAACGGGCACTGGGCAGCCCAGCTGCTGCAGGAGCCAGCCTGGAGCAGGGCTGGTCAAGCCTTGCTGACAGGATTCCCCTGATTCCCCTCTGCCCACCAAGCACAGACTGGAACTACTGAAAATTAAGGTTTTTAAGGTTGTACATTTTCTCCATGTCTTGGCCAAGCACTTTATGCTTTGCAAAAGCCAGGAAATGGTTACTTTTTCTTTCAATGAACTTTATTTATCATAAAGTTCTTTGTAATTAAAAAATATTCTCATCTTTCTCCTAACTGCCTAAACTTTTGTTTCACTTCAGACTGAGACTGTGTTTGTGTGACCGGGTACAAGTTTTTTCATGTCTTTTTCAGTGCCATAAAGTGTCCTGCTAAGACACTGCAGGAAGATACGGGCCAGCAGAGACTCACTTTCCTGGCTGCCTGCTGGCACTGCTCTGCACGGGCTGGCAACTGCTGTTGGCTGCGGGCATCATGGCTTGGATGGACTGATCCAACAGCATCCTGTGGTGGAAGGAAAACAGAGGATGGTCAGGGAAGGGAGAGGTCCAGGGTCCAAGGTCCTGTCAGTGTCTAGAAACAACTCCTTTAAAATCCTCCATGAAAGCAGGCAAACTTTGAAAAAAACCTTGAAACCTTGAAAACAAGCTCATGAAATAGGATGCTTCTTATCACCTCACACCTCTCCTGTGAATACATGCTGAGAAGATTAGGATTGTTGACACTGGAGAAGAGAAGGCTCCGGGAACACCTTATAGCATTTTCCAGTATCTAAAGGAGCTAAAAGAGAGCAGGAGAGGGACTTTTGACAAGGGCATGGAGCGACAGGACTAGGGGGACTGACTTTAAACTGACAGAGGGCAGGGTTAGATTAATTTATGGAAATATGGTGAGGATTTGAAGCCCCTGATGATACAGCAGGATGTGCCCAGCACCCTGCCTGCCTGCACATGGGCTCACCCCACAGAGGGAACAGTGGCACGTGTTCCATCCTCACGTGTTCCATCCTCACGTGTTCCATCCTCATGTGTTCCATCCTCACGCTGGCTGTGGCAGCCCGAGCCCACCACCCCGAGCCCAGCCACGCCTGCCCCCTGCCCAAGCACTGCTGTTTTCTGTCACTGCCCCAGGCTGGCCCCAGCAGGGCTGTGGGTACCTGAGGCTCCTGTCCTGGCTGTAGTCAGCTGCAGGCTGCCTCTCGCTGCTGTCAGTCGGCGCGGCTGCGGCCACGGCGATGGGCTGTGCCTGGGAGAGCACCATGGGGCTGTTGTAGAAGGGCACTGGGATGCTCGCCTGCCCTGGCACACAGGTTTGCTGCCCTTGGCTTCCTCTCATTGGGTGCTGCTGCTTCTGCTGCTGTACCTGAAATGAAGATGTGGGTATCCACCTAAGTTTTAAAGCTCCCTAATGGAAGGATAAAATAACCACTTACAGTGGGCAGATGGGGAAAGGAGAAGGAACAACAGGATATTGTCCCTGAACACAGCAGTAGGTACAGTATATCTATTCAAGACCACCAACCCATTAACATTTATTGGCCCTGCAGGGCAGGTGCTGGCATCCCCAGACAGTATTTTGAGAAATTCGAGTACAAGGGTAAGAGCACAAAAGGCTTGAGGAGGAAGAGAACAGCTTAAGAGGGGAAGTGCAAATCTGAAGTCTCCAAGGAAAGCATCTCATCTGCCCTTTAAAGGAGCAGTTTTGGATTTTTTATTTTTGAACAACTCAAGTCTTTCCCATGTTAATAGTGGATTTAGGTCTAGTGGTGACAAAATTGTTTTTTCAAAGCTGCCTTCCAAGACTCCTCAGGCAGAGCAAAAGTAATCTTTTAAAATGATACCTACTCCTGTGTTATGAAACCACAACTCTCACTGGCTATGAATAATGAGCAATAACTGTGTTGATGAGAGCCCAGACCTCCCATTCACATCCTCCCCAGGCACCAGGAGAGCTCCAGCAGTCTCTGGGGGGTAAAGGCTTTTTGGCCACCCGTTTTTTATTTTTACAGTTGAGTGACATTGTTCACAACTGACTCCTGACACAAATTCCTCAATGCCAGCTATGCAGTAAAACCAACACCGAGGGGATGCACGGGACGGCGGGGAGGAGTGACACGGCAGACGAGCATTTAGCAGCTGGAAAAGCGGATGACGAGGACAAGGAAGCAGCCAGTGACCTGGGGGGCTGCGCCACAGGGGTCCCTGAGGAATGGGTGCGGTGACAGCAGGTGGGTGCTGCAGTAGTGCTTTGTCCCCGCCAGGGCTGGCTGCGGTGACTTCTTGGCTGCGGAGTGCCTGGGCGCGCCCGGCGGCCGCCGGGGGCTGGGCTGCTGCACGCTGTTCACGATGACCGGGATCGGCTGCTGCATCAGCATCTTTGAGTGAAAGAGGCACAGGAGCTGTTGGTTGGACTGCCTGGCAGAAATAACACTGCAGCAGTATCTCTGAATCCAGGGGCAAAATGAACCATGAGTAACAGAAAATCAAATGTTAGCCTGTGACAAATATTTATTCAGAGCCAGGAAGGTTCCAGCTCCATTGTGCCTGCTGTGCTTTGCAGGAGTGGCAGTAGGGATCCAGCAGCACTAACCAGACATGGAACCACCAAGCTCTTTTGTGCATGGGAGACTTTGGATTAATTTGGGATTGCTTTATTTAAAGCACGGAAATCACTGATTCAATACTCAGCCAGATATTGACATCACTCATCTCTCGGGAAACACCACTCCCACAGCTGAAATCAAGTTACCAATTTGGCAAGAGTTCATTCCCAAATGCTTTTGCCACAGACAATTTTATTACTGCTCTGTGTGCTCAAAGGAAAAGCAAATGGCTGGTGAGTGTTGGGAGCACCAGGGGCAGCAGGTACCTGCAGGTTGGAGTCCTGCACGAGCTGGAGCTGCTCCTTGATGACATGGAGCTCCTCTTGCTGTGTTTTGATGTCAGCTTGCAGGATGCGAGTCCTCTCCTCCAGCTGCTCCTTCAGCTGGTGCATCATCCCCAGCTGGGTGGGGAAATGGTACACTGGCTGCAGAGAACAGAGAAAAGGGACACACAGTAGGACCAGTCCTGCTATTCACATCCATAGCAATGCTGGATTCAGAAAAATGACTGCTTTTCAGCTTTTGCCATAAAAAATATGATGCTGACAAAAAAAGGCAATTGCATATTTAACTAAAGTGCCACTGTAGTTCCAGAGCAGCAGCACATCTGGCTTACAGTGCCTCCCTCCAGGTGTTGGTCTCTACAATTTCTGCATAGATGAAATGTCTCTACATGGGACTCTCCTGTTCCCTCAGGATAACACCCTGCTGGTTTGGGCCCACTTGTGTTTTGTGGCAGACACTGCATCCAAACCCTTGCCACACCTCCTGACTGGGCTTTCAGTTGTGCTGCTAATGATATTTGGCAGATGCCAGGCCCAAGACAGGCTGCAATCCCACCTGGGATCCATCCTTCACACCTACACTGGCCATTTTCAATCTCTGTTTTATAATCTGAACATTTACTGCACTGATATCAAAGTCCTGTAAGGGCAGACCTTGTCATTATGATTTATGACTAATTTTTCTTGGGGTTTTTGGTTTCTTTTCTTTTCCTGGCCTAACTCAAACCTTCCAAGACATCCCCTTCCTCTACTAAAACTCTTCAGCATTTTATCAGCCTGTAGGTAGCTGCTAGAGGTTTAGGGAGAAGCCTTCAGCAGCCCACAACACTTTTTACAAATGTAAACCTTCTCCTATGCTATTTCTTTGGGTGTCCCACCTGCTCTCTCTGCTCTCTGAAATAAGTGGTTGCGAGAAGGTTGTTGCAGGTAATCTCAGCAACAGAAAGGGCACAGAAACCTTGTCCCCACTCTGGGATGAGCCAGCAAGGATGTGAGGGCAGTGAACCGAAGCCACCTAGGCTGCCCTGCTGACAGGACACACCAGTGCACTTAACAAAAACAAACCACATACCATGACAGGGTGCTGGGAGGGCACTGCCAGCTGAGCCACGGGGTGCTGGGAGACAGGCTCACCATGGGCTTGAGGAGTGGCTATGGCCTAGAAATGAAAACTTTGCCTTACTGCAGGTCCATAGCACCTCTAGTGCAGAGCTGGTGCTTTAACAGCTCATACCAGGGATGAACAAGTGCAGGGAATTGGACAACTGAGATTGGAGATCTGAGGATAAGTCTGAAGAGATAATTTATGTTCCTGTATGCCCCTGATAATTTCAAGTCCTTGGTGTCAGCACCCATTTTGGATAAAGGCCATCTCACATGTACAAACCCCAAGAAAAGAGGGTTGGTGGTGTGAGCCTGGAGGAGCAAATCCTGAGCCTCCAGCCTCTCTCCACTGGCTCTGCCAGCCAGTGGCACCCCCCAGGAATCCCCAGCACAGTCAGAGTGCGGCATCCAGCATCTCTGAGGGTGAGATCAACGCTTGTGTTGCCGTTTCACCACGGCCCAGAAGGGCTGCTGCTCGGGCAGCACTGACCTGCGCGCTCCCGGGCGCTGCCAGCCGCAGCGCCGCCTTGTCCCCCGGCACCGCCGGCCGGCTGGGCGTGCTGCTGTCCGTGCGCCGCATGGACGACGTGGCTGCGAAAGAGACACTCACTGTCACACAGCTGACCCCTGCCTGGGCGCCCTGGCTCAGCCTGAAATCCGCTATGCAGATCGGGCAGTGACCCAAGCAGCGCAAAGCGGGTCCGCAGTGCCCCTCTGCGGGCAGTTTGGCTCTCTGCCCCTCTGTGGTCCCTCTGGCTCCCCACCTGCCTTGCTGGGCTCCCTCCTGATGCTCACCCCTATTCAGCCTGCCCCCCATGGGTGTATCCAGATGAGATCACTCCCCACGGCAAGAAAAGTCCCCTGAGTTTCCTCCCCATGACCCTACATAGAGCACTTCAGTCATCCTGCAGCCTCCCCAGGGGGAGGAGGGCACTGATGGGAGCTGGGATGAAGCTGCCAGCAAGGCAGGCATCCTTCTGCGCTCCTTCTGCAGGGACTTCACATGAGAGACCCCATAATAAAATTATATTATCCCAACATAAAGCTTTGGTCAGTGAGCTTGGTTCAATCAAGCTGGCGAGTCACCTCTTGTCCCCAGAAGCACAGCAAACAGCCATGACCCCCAGCTGGTGACAGGCCCGGGGGAACCGGCTCTCACACAGGGGATGGGTTAAGAGGGAGAGGCGGCAGGTGGCCGTGCCTCTGTCGCTGCTCTGTGACTTGTCACGACCCCAGGGCTGAGCATTCCCCTCCCAGCCCGACTTGGTCACTCCCAGCCGAGCCCCGGTGTTTCGGGGGCCGCTCTGCTCCCCAGCCCGGCACCCAGCGGCGCTGCCCGGCACCTACAGGTGGAGTCGGACAGGGTGGTGTGCGAGGAGCGCCGGGAGCTGTGCGAGGACAGCGACACTCCCTCCCGGCTGGCGTCCTGGCTGCTGCCGCACTGCCCCACGTCCAGGTAGCTGCTGTGGCTCTGCGGGAGCAAAGACAAGCGGTGACACCGTCAGCAGGAGGGGATGGCCCCGGGAGGGACCTCCGCCTCCTTGAGCCCTGTTCTGCAGACACAGGCACAGACACAGGTGTGCCCAGCACCCAGCCGGGCTCGCCCCGGAGCCCGCGGGCACACAGGAGCCTGCTCCGGCCCTGGGCACCCACCTGATGGCAGCCAGCAGCACAGGAGGACTGCTCCTCCCTGGGGAGTGCTGCCCATGGCCAACTCTGCTGGGCCAACCTCCTCCCTTGCCCACAGAGCTGTGGGCAACAGGAAAGAAGCTTTTGTCAGCCTCTTTCTGCCCGATCTCTTCAGGGATGTCACAGCTGGCTGGCTCTGGTGCACTGGGGGGTGGTGGCAGGGGAATGAATGAAGGTGGCAGAAAGTCCTACCTGGGGAATAGTTTTATCCATCGAAGAGATGGAGAGAGATAACTGGGAAGGGACAGGGAGCAGTGATAAGTGTTTTCCCTTGCCTTCCCATCTTCATCTGAGTATCAGTGATGAGCTGGCACAAGCAAAACAGGTACCCTGTGGTACTGCCCTACTCCTGGATCCTCTGTGCATTGCTAAGGGTCACAGGTACAGCAATCTGGCCTCCAGCTCCAGCTCTACTTCTCTGCTTCTGAGCTGAGGTGGTTTAACCTGTTGTTTGTGTCCAGGTTTTAACCTGTTGTTGCGTCCAAGATTACAGGGACCAGAACAGAGCAATGCAACTGCTGCATTCACAGCTATTGTGGAATCTGAGAACACTTGGTGTTACAGACCACCTAGCTCCAATCCCCCTGCCATGCCACTAGATCAGGCAGTTCAAAGCTCATCCAGCCTGTCCTAAACCAACATGGACAATTTGGAGCCATGCACCAGAAAGCTTCTCAGCCTGAATCATAACCCAGTTCAAGGCTTGGAATGAGATGGGAGTAAAGAAAATGGAGAAGAACAGATATTTCCCTCAGATTGGTAAGCTGTTACTCAGTTTGGTTTAAACATCTGCTCATTCACCTGTGAAGGAACATGGTACCTTTAGAGAAGAGGATGCCAGTTCAATTGATGACTCTTCGAGGCCAAGATCTCGTCTTCTCTCAGCCCGAACTTCTGCATAACTAAAAAAACCCAAAAATAAAAAACAAAACAAAACAAAACTCAAAAAACAAACCCCAAACAAAAAAAAACACCCAAAACCAACAAAATATTATTTTACAGCTTCTGTGCAGGTATCCTACCACAACAAGTGTACATTCATTTTCTAGCTTGATGATGATGAACAAGCATCCTTTTTTTTTTTTGTATGGTAGTTCAGTGATCCCTATGACAGTGCCTTGGGCAGGTGCCTCCTTCTGAGGGTGCACAGAACTGTGCATGCATCAGAGTTAGCATCTTGCACTCCAGTGGAAGCTCCAAATACAAACAGGCAGCTGCACAAGTGCAGGAACCCCTAAAAGGTGCCTCTAGAATTGTATATTTTCTTTCCTTACTTTTTCCCCTCTGAAATAATGAAATATTTACAGTAACAAATGCCCCATGATTCACCACTGGGATAAATTGGAGAGGATGTTTCAAAGACTCTCTGAGTGCTCATGCATTGTGGGCACCGAGAGCTGCCAGACTTTAGGGTGATGAAATATTAATGAGCTGCAACCTTTGTGGGAGGCAAGAGAAGTTGCTGAACCAACCTCACTTATATAATTGTGGTAACGAAATTTCCTGAAAGAACATTTTAACTCATGTGCTTCAGTAACATACTTTAAGCCTTAACTATCTGAGACAGAATTGAACTTCAAAATCTATTTAGGACTACATTGTTAGGTTTAAGAGGCACTGGAAGCAGAAAGAAGAAACAAGTTCATGCACAATAAATTCAGCCCTTAAAGTGAAGCTGAATTCCCTGAAGGATGGCAGAAGTAAGACAACTGAGAAGTAATCTCTCTGTGTAACATTTGCTTATGTTAACACTGCACATGTAGTTTATACCACAGATCACAGAATCAGAATCAACAGAATTTGGGTTGAAACGGACCTTAAAATTATCTGGTTCCAAGCCCTCTACTGTGGGCAGAACACCCGCAACTAGACCAGGCTGTTCAGGGCCCCAGCCAACCTGGCCTTCAATATTTCCAGGGATGGGGCAGCCACAGCTTCTCTGGGCTTCCAGTGCCTCACCACTCTCACAGGGAAGAATTTCTACCTAAGATCTAATCTAAACCTATCTCTGACAGTTTAAAGCCATTCCCCCTTGTTCTACAACTCCTTCTCCAGCTCTCTTGGAGCTCCCTTAGGCACTGGAGGAGGCTCTAAGGCTTCTCTCGAGCCTTTTCTTCTCCAGGCTGAACAACCCCAGCTCTCTCTTCCTATCTTCACAGGAGAGGTGCTCCAGCCTCTGAGCATCTTCAAGGCCCTCCTCTGGCTCACTCTAACACTCATATATTTCACATTTATTAGTGTTTGCTCTTCCAGATGTTTGACAGAAAAAGAGAGAGACCAGAAAAAAATTTGATTCTTGACACTACAAAAATACAGTGAGCAAGAGCATTACTCTTGCTCACTCAAGGAGCTCTGTATCACAGAGCATCCTACACATGCACTGCCTTCAAGCACGGGCTGCAACTCAGCACAGGCAGCTTCCCACTAGGGGGGGATCCAGGGCTGGATTTGGGTGAGGAATAAGGCCAGCAAGCCAGCAGCTAACTTCCAGTCATAAATACTTGAGGCTCTGATCAAAAGGTTTTGTAGGAGTTACATGATCTCATTCATGCCCAGAAAGATATGTCTGATTCCCAACAGCTTTAATTCTTTCTATGGCCATGTCATCACTAGGGACAAAAGGGGAATGTAACACACCAATAGATTTAGCCAAAACTGGCTTCCAGGCTTTTGGCTCAGTTAAAAAAAAAAAAAAAAAAAAAAAAAAAAGGAAAGAAAAGAGTAAATAGGTAAATAAAACACATATTCCCTGTCAGAAGGAAAAAGCAGTGGCTGAACACTGAGACATAACACACTCTGAAGAGTTTGGTGCTGGCTCCCACCTAACTACCAGGTGAGTGCAAACAATGAACTCAGGCTTGGAGTTCCACTGGTGGTAGGTGATGTAGTAGTGTGTCTGCAGCCATATCCACTGCTGCCCTTTGGTCAGGAACCGATAGTAACAGGATTTTCCTTTTCCAAACTGCATCACTGTTTAACAAAAAGAGAAAGCAATTTATAGCAAACAGGGATTTTATGTTGCAAAGGTGATTTAATCAGCATTCAGTCCCACACCCCTCTCCCAGACTGGGGCAGTGCTAAAATGGTTCATGAGCTTTATAAACAAGACAGATGATACATAACCATGTATCATTGTCTGGGGTCATTCCTGCTGACTTTCAGGAGTGCCTTTTGCTATTTTGAGATTTCTCTTATAACTGGTGCAATTATATAACTAGCTACATTCTTATAACTTATGGGCTCCCTGAAATAAGCATAAATAACATTAATTAAACACATTATTTGCCTTTCATTAGTACATGAGAATGCATTTCAAAGACTGAAGATGTGAAGTAAGAATCCTAATAATGGCACAAAACAACAAGATAGTGGAGTTTCAACTGAGAGCTTTCTTTTAAGAGCTGGCCTACTCCAACCTGGTATGTATTATCAGGCTATGTCCAGAAAAATCTCAGGTGCTGTAATACAGCTGGAAAATAGTGAAGGGAACTACATTAAATAACCACATTAATTTTTCCAGACTGCTGGGAGTGCAAAATGAAACATGCTCACTTAAAGTACCCACAATTAATGAAAAGTAAAATACAAACATGGTTTAAACAAACCCATTTCACTCTACAGTAGGCAAGATGTCTGCCCAAAGTGTCAACATGACAAACAGGAACCTAGCAAAACACACTAACCCGAGCGTTTTTTTATTCACCTGCAGACCTCTATTTTGTTAAAATATCAGGACTGACTTCTTCAGTGATCCCATTAACAGTGGTGGGCTTTAGATGAAGCACTTAGTAGACATTTTCTGGCTAACATGACATGCTGGGGACCCCTCAGTTCCTAGTCCTGGCAGACATGTCCTGAAGCAACTTCTCTAAGTAACTTTGCCAGCACTTTACTTTGTTTCCCTGTGCAGTAAAATGAAAAGATCTTTCCTACAGGTGTGTTGTGAAAATATTCTTCTAATAGGTAAGAGGAATGCCTAGATGATAGAGATGCAGAATATAAATAATCAAATTGATTCTCTGCAGAATGATCTGACCCACTCTCAGTACAGTGTGTGTCTATACCAAACTGCACATGCATTACCAAAAGGCCACTTAAATCTGAACTGTCTTTTAAGCAAACAGCACTAAGAAGTACTGTGCTTGAGAGCAGTTAAAATGCTCTGTTAATATTCACTTTTGCTGCATTTGACACTTGTGTGTCCCCCTGTCACAGCCTCCTCTGTGTGCTCAGCCAGGCAAGCCCCTGGCACCTGCTGCACCAGCGCTTTGCTGGGCAGGGCAGAGCAGCCAGCAGGGAACTGGAGCAGGGGACCTTGACATGCAGACAAGTATTTTTCCCCATTCTCTTCTAGGTCCCTCAGCTCCTCATATATGTAAGTGGTAGAGGGTTTGTGGTAGAGATGAGGGTGCTTTGCAGCTTTTCTCCAGTGGGCTGTGGGGCTTCTTGCTGGAGTTTCTTGGTCCCAGCCTCGTGCTGCTCTGCATCTCAGAGCAATTACAGCATCCTGCTTGCTCCTCTCTCTGGGGTGTCCTTGTTTCCTTTGAACAAAACACTTTCCTCTCAAGTGGAGGTAGCAGAGAGACAGACAGTGTCCCCCACAAGAAACCTGTAAGTAATACTTCTTAGCAAAATACCTGATTACCTAGATGCATTTTACAAAGTATTGGTTATTTTTCATTGCAGTGCTTGGCAATGAAAAACCACCACAGGACCCACATAACTATAGCTCAGTATCTCAGTCTGAAATGCACCCAATGAGATGGAAAAATCTGGGTCCTGGGGATAAAGCATCTCACATCTGCTAGGATCTGCACACTGACTAAGAGTAGACCCCACCTGCAGACACCTTCTGCCCTTCCTCACGTCAGCTCCAGCCTCAGCAGGACATGGTTCTTCAGCACTGGGCTGCACTGCCGTGGAAACCAGGTGAGTTCTCCTTCTGCCCTGCCTCTGACAGGCCACACTATTTCTCCTTGCATGAAAATAAAGTTCATGGACCTTCTTTGGTGTTCACACATTAGCCTGAACTTGACTCTTCTGCTTCGTTGTTTTCCTTTCAGGTTGACCAAACATGAGCCATCTTCACCCACAGGGAAACTGTGTTCAGTACTTTTGTATGTAAAATAATTCTGAATCTCCAGAAGCATTTTACTAATGAGTAAGTGAGGTTCACAACACCTAATTGCACAGGCAGGCGATCCAAATGATGCTCTCAAAAGGTGTTTTGGTGAGCTGAGCCTCCTGGGTAACTCTGGAGCCCAGGGGAATGGCAAGACCCCCTGAGCTGTGACAAACAACAAAACTCGCAGGGCAGAGGGGGGATAGTTCTGACTCCCAGTCTTTTAATCTCATTTCACTCTGAGACAGCCTGTGCTCAAACAATGTATCTGCCAATTTAGGAAACCTGCACTAACAGCTCCTGATCTGAGGGAATTCTACAGATTCCAACCTCCCAGGTAAGTGTCAGCTGTGACAGTCTGTCATGGAAAGGGAGAGTTCCTGCATGTCCCTGAAAAAGAAGCCTTTTGCAATGACAGTAAAAGGTTTTGCACAAGTGACAAAGGAGATCAGAGACAGACACATTACAGAGGCAGGGCAACTTACAGTGTTCATGGCACCTAGCAAGAAGCTCCAGGTCATCTGCGTGGTAGTAATCATACCCTGACGTTCCCAGAACCTCAAAGGGTAAATATCCTATAATAGGTGGAGCCCTAGAAAGGAAGCAAAGGGCAGGGAGTGAGCACAAAACTTGACTCTTTGACATCCTGGCAGATAAGCTGTGATACCAGCAACAAACTCCATTGTTCACTTGGCAGGGAAATCTGGAGTGGGTTTTCATATAGGCAGTGATGCATTTTTACATACAAACAAAAAAACTGACTGCGAGGGAGAGGTAAAAATTGAGAAAATGAAAAGGTGTGTGTTTACTGTTTCACAGCCTATTCATTATGTGGGTGTAGAGAAAGGCATGTACATATGTGAGTGACTCAATTCATTAAGGATGCTTGTGAGACAGCTTGAGAAATGCTATGGCTGATCCTGCACATAACAACTTGGAGCTAGAGTAAAATTATCCAGTAGGTTGGATGTAAGTGTCATCTGGGTAGTAACTGTGGAAGAGAGAATAAGTGGGAAGCTGCAGTGTGTGCCAGGACCAGCTTGGGAAAAAGTAATTGCTCCCCTGGAAAAGCTTGGGAAACTACAGCCAACAAAAGTTTCTGTGCTGGTAGTGCAGATAGCAATAGGCATGGGGCTGATTTAGGGCTGATTGTGCTTTGCTTGGTAGAGAAGGAATTGATGAAGCATTTAGATAGGCACATTGCAATGACTTACCTCACTATTCTGCTATGAATTCTAGATTTTCCTTTTTCTAGGCAAAACATGAGATTTTTTTTTTTAAAGCAGGTATCCTAACACAGCCTTCACCAGAGCCTGATAGCTTATGATTATGAAACAGCACTGAAATGTGGGGAGAAAACCACTGGTTTTGCCTCTGCTCCCTGTATCAGCACATCACTCTCCATCTGCCAGTGCTCAGGTACAACCCTGCCTGCACCAGCTCAAGCATTCAGAGAGGCAGGACCTGTGCTGAGGTGGCTGCAGGATGTGCTGTGTTCACCTGCCAAGTTCAGTTTGTTTCTCAGGAACAGGGCAAAAGGGTAAATAACTCAAAATGGGGCAGGCTGAAGGTGATGGTGCCTATCAAACCTGCCCCTCTCCTGGTCAGCTGAGTGCTCTTAAGGCAGGAGGCCATAATGTGGCCAAAACTATGAGGAAAACGCTATTTCAGTGTATGACACATGGATTTGGATGGATCAGTCCTGAGTTTCTTGGTTATTACTGTGTGAAATTCTCTCTTGGCTGAGCCAGCCAGCTCCGCATTTTTCCTCTTGCGAGACGCAGTGGGCACAGGTTATCCAGCCACAGAGAGCCCAGGCAGGTCTGCAACCTCCCTCCTCCCCACAGCGTGGGCAGTCGGGCACCAGGGAATGGGGGGAGCAGGACAACCTGCCAAAGAGCAGTCCCAGGAGGAGCAAGGTGTGTCAGAGCTCCTGAGTCCCACACAAGGGTCAGCTGGGAGAGCCAGGCCTCCACCTGACAGCAAATCCCTTGGAACAGAATGTGCTGAGCACACGGTGCCCTCTGCCACAATACAGCTTTATTTATTTCAGTAACTTTTCATAGCACTCTGTTCCTTTTCTTCATGTGACCCAGATTTCTGTTAATGATGATAATATGTGTATTTATTAAAGTGTCCTTGCTGTCTCTTTGGCAGAATGCATCACTGTTTCTCCTACTTTTAATGACATGCTTATATTCAAGACAATAGTGTCTTTCAGATGCACATCAGATAAACATTTAAGCTGATCAGGAAAGTATTATGCTTTCCTGAATATCACCAGAGCTCTTCATAAAATAAAGAAACCACAAAATGCTCTTCATCTGTCATTTAACAGAAGATGCCTTGTGGAGCAATTTAGAAGTGTCTTGTTAGCTTAAGTTCCAGTCCTGAGATTTGCAGCTTGCTGTGCAAATGGGAATGCACAATCTTTAGAGAGTTTTTTGGGTGCAGTCTTTTAATAAATGAAGGGAAAATAAGAACAGTGCCACAGTGCAGAAGAGAAACAAATCATTATCGAAACTGATGGGTTTCTCTTCCTATACACATATTTACATAGAGACCCAGAATACATTTTTCCTATTTTTCTCATGTTTATCCACATCTATGGAACATTTTTATTGCATCTATCTTTACTTTGATTTGAGTTGTGATCATGACAGCAAAGGTCCTGATTCCAGCTTCTGCTGGGTGCCCTCTGCCCCTGCTGAAGGCACACCTCAGTGTCAGGCAGCCTGCAGTGATGCAAATCAGCAAGAAACAGCAACATTTCCCAGAGTCCTGCAGATTGTACTGGAGAGAGCTTGGAATCAGTGATTAAATCAGACAACTCCCACAATCTCCTGCTCATTCTTGGGTCTGAGCTCACTGCTTGCATCTGGATCTGTCACAAACTCTGCCTCAGCATCTGCATCATCTTAATTTCCTCTCAGCAGCAATGGCTTCCTCTCTGGGAATATCAGTGGGACTGGAGTGTCTGCAAGCACCCAGCAGAGATTCCTCTCTGAGTCATAACCCACATTCATCAGAAGACTCTTTGACAAGTTTCAAAGTAGCTCCTGCTCACCTTTTTCACAGGAGCTGCTGGGACACAGCCCTGTGGAAAAGCAGCTCGCTTCATCAGTGACGTGAGGGGCTTAGGGCTCTTTTACAAATCTTAACGTTAATCAGCGATTCTAAAAATGTGCTTTATCAGACAGGCCAATTAAAGTCTAACAAAGCCACTCCAGCAAGATCTCATCTGAGTTACTAATTATCTGACTGTCCCAAACCACAAACTGTAGGGGTGTTGCAGGGTCAGTTCCTCCATGCTTCAAGGTATGATGTGAGGCACACGCCTTCTGTTCTATATAAATGAGAGCTATTACTCATTTTTATTTGCTCTCCCTCTTTCTTGCTCTAAATGTGGAGATGGTATTTAGATTTTTTTCCTCATAAATACTTTTTTTCTTTAGAGCCTTATTTACTAGTCTTCTGTTTTCAGTAATGACTACTTTTGCACAGCTCACAAGAGGAGGGGTAATGAGGAGGGTAGGATTTTGCAAAGTGCTTATGCACATATGTCAAATACAGAGAAGTAAGAGAGTGAATAAAACCCTCCAGCTTCTTTTGAAGAAAATTAATCCTAAATTAAGCATCTTAATAAACTGGTTCCAGTCTGTTTCATTCACCAAGCTGAATTCTGGGCCACCATATTGCATTGTCAAAAACTAATCTACAATTAAATGATAAAATCCACTGTTTTTTATTTTGGTTTTAGAAATTCTATAATTTCTCAAGGTGAAAAGTCAAAAGTTTATTGACACAGCAAAAGATTTAGAAGGATTCCTGGAAGCTGTCCTTGTAGAACAGAGGAGCTAAACCAATATGGGGAATGTATTGGGATCCACACTGCTCACTTTCAATGATTTATTATCTTGGTTAGGAGATAAACATTTTTCTAGACATTTTCCATGGTTTCTTACTTGCCTAAAATATGGAAAATAGTGAAGCATTTAAGGATGCCTAATAGCTAAGTTCAGAGTACTGCTACCTACTAAGTTGCATGTAATTAGAACTATTCCATTTGGGATCTCAGGCAATAGGTATACAAAGTTTCCTATTTTTAAACTACAGTTTATTCTTCAGCGACTAAACCCAAATCTCTTACCTGTGGTCCAAGAATAAAAACTTCCATTCTAAACTATGCCTCGATGTAAATTCTTCACATGGCTCTTCAACATTGCAGAGCTCCTGCAAAAGAGCACATACATTCACACATTTAATTCTGTGAAATGACAAAAGGAGCCTGCTATCAAAACCTAGCACGCATCTTGTTGATATAACAAACCATAGCAAAATACAGTGCTTTTAAAGCACTTGACTTATTTTCCTCTAAGGAATGTGTAAGACTTGTTTATGAACTGATGAAAAATGGCTGAATAGTTTACCTTGAGCTGAACTTCAGAGCTAGGATAAATAGCCAGTCTCATCTTGCACTCTCTAGGCAAAATTCCCCAGCTTTTTGCAAATACTGGTACTTGCATATGGATGACAGCTCCAAGTCCAGCCCCTAACTGAGCTGGCTAATGCCCTCTTGAGCAAGCAGCACCTAGGGCTGTTATCAGTGCCACGGGACATTTACAGACCAGCAGCAAGAGGCCATGACACACATTTTCAATGTTTCAAGATGCAGATCCTCACACAAAGGAGTGGTGGATGCATGTTTTTGAATGCTGCAAATTCCCAGGTGGTGTAGCTGGTCACCTTGTCCTGGAGCTTCCCAGGAGACACCGCACCACAAAACCACCTCTTCTCCTCAGCTCCTGCTTCACCCCTTATCTTTCCAAAATACATCCTTATGCCATCTCCCACTCCCAGCACGTCCCCTCTCCTCTGCTAACGCTGTGCTGCTGGCCCTGCTGCTGCCGGGGTGCCCGGGCAGTGCTGCAGCTCGGCTCACCTTCAGGAACTGCGGCGTGACCAGGCGAACGGTGGCTACCAGGCAGATCTGCTCCTCCGTGGCTGACCTGAAAGCCCGTGCAATAGCTGACTCAAAGCCATTACAGGAGGGTGTAGGCACTAGGAACAACCAGACAATTTATTTAAGAAGAAGAGGAAGGAGAGGTTTCTTCTCTGTTAAGACAGCCTGAGTGACTGAAGAAACCCAGCAGCAAAGTCCTGCTGCCCACAGGGTGATGCCACACTGCTCCAAGCCGGTGTCATCTGAAGCACGACCCTGCAGGCTCCACCTTACACAGCTGTAACCACCTGCCCATGGCTTCGGGGCAGCTTTGTAAGACAGCTTGGAGTAGCTCACAGTGTGCAGCTGCAGTGTCCCTGTCAGTCTTTCTCCAGGCCAACATTTGCAAGATTCAGGATTTTACAGGCACCTCAAAGTACTTAATCTCTGTAAAGTGTTATTTCACTGCCACAAGTGAAACAGAATGCCGTATTTTACTGGCTATTTGAATAAGTAGGCTGCTTTACAATTGGCAGTGGGTCAAACAGATGTATTTTCAGTCTGGTATCAGCTTTAGGCACAACATGCAGGAGAGTGCACTCCTCAGATCAACAGACTCCCCACCATTTTTGCATGAAAAACATATCCAATGCATGCACAGCTCATTCCATCCCTGACAATTATGGGGCATTTTCAGCAGAAACTGAGCCTTTAAGATGCTACAGATCAAGATAATTTAAAGGAGAGAGGTGGAGAGACAAAGGTAGGCTGGAACAGTAACTTACCATGAGTAAAATATTTAAAATCCACTACAAATTTCACGTATTCATACATCAGGGGTTCATTTGGATCTAAGCTGCCTCTTGCTAAATGGCAACAAAACTCTATTTGTTTTTCTGCTGAAATGAAAGAAAGAGAGGGAGAGACAGACAATATTATTAGACATCTGCACTTTAGCTCGCTCACATATTTAATTTATCTACCAAGTGGTATCTGAGCACAGCCTGCTGGGAAGCTTCTGATGCCCAGAAGTAAATATATAACTACTAGGAGCAATTATCATCTGTTTCTGCTTAAGGAATTGTATTCTCACCCTTTTTGCCTGTCTTTGCACCCACCCCAGTAAGCTGAGTGTGAAGCCCTGGCTGCGGTGGTCAGCAGGATTTTCCATGACTTCATGGATGTAGGATTTCATGCAGAGCAGTTATTGGTATTGCAGTACTCTGCTCTGGCACTGCTCAGTAGGACCAAAGGGCACTGAACTCACCCTAAGCCCTTCCATTAACAGTGGAGGGCACTGTGCCAAACTCTAAACCAGTTTTCTGCCTCAAGTCTGAACTCTATGGATTAGACCACACAGCCTTCAGCCTGAGGAAAACCACCCCCAGGCAGAGCATCATCAGGCTGCTCAGAGCATCATCAGGGTGCTCACAGATCATCAGGGTGCTCAGAGCACCATCAGGATGCTCACAGATCATCAGGGTGCTCAGAGCATCATCAGGGTGCTTAGAGCATCATCAGGGATGCTCAGAGCATCATCAGGGTGCTCAGAGCATCATCAGGGTGCTCAGCTCCCACTGGTGCTTATGGGGCAGCAGGGAGGGGAGCCCAGTGCTGCTCGGTGGCCTTGCCAAACCCACCGAGAAAGGGGTGGGGGCTCAGCACAGGCTGAAACATTAATTAATGAAACACAGGGGTTGCCTGCTCTGGTTCTGGGGACATTTTCAGAGGGGAAGGGACATGGGACAGCAGCCAGCAGTACAGATCCAGACAGACTGCTCAGATAGAAAGGCTTTGCTTAAGTTACATTAGGGCTCCTCTTGTGTCCTGAGATATGCAAGCTTCCTGAAGAATAACAGCTCTGCCAAAACTGTTTGGGATTTCTCCAATTTTTTTTTCCCTTGAGCCCTCACTTCTTTTTCAGGGCTAGTCTAGCACCTCATCTGAGGAAAAGCATCTACCATCCAAGGGGCAAAACAGATGGTAAAACAAAGACTGTCCTAATCAAAGAGCAACTACTGGGAGCACATAGGAACATTAGAGATGTGATGCACTAAAACCCACAAATACAGCAAAACAGAAGTGGCAGGCAGGAGCCAGCTGGAGAGCTCTGTGCAGACTTCCCTGGGAGCTGTTTACCTTTGGCAAACTTCTCTGACCGACAGACAAGAGCAGAGCTTACCATTTAGAAAATCAGCTGCAACAGGATCTGTCATGAGCACATGTGGAGAAAGTAGCTTGTACACCTCGCTCTGCTCCCCCTCAGGCAGAAAGTTTAATATATTTTGGTCCACCAAATCTGACTGATACAAAAGAATGCTTTGTCATGTTCAGCAGTACAGCCTGACACAACCACATGCCTTTTCACCCCTCAGCAGAGCACAGACACTGCCGGTCTGGTGTGGATGCCTAAGACAAGGAAGCCCAGTCCATCTCCAGATGGATCTAGGGCAGATTGTAACCCTTAAACTATTTTACCCCAGGATCACTATCCATTTGCAAAAGGTTGAATGAGTCCCAGAGGTTGTCCTTCAGTTCAGACAGATACAGGCTGGAGAAGAAACCCTGGTACCACAGGAATATAATGTGATAAGAAGTGAAACATTTTTCTTTGAAAGCACATCACAGAAGAAGGAGAGCTCCTCCCTACATCCTCCATTTGTCCTCTAGGCTGAACATCTGGCAAAATCAGCTTGACCTGCAAGTGATTCAGTGGTCATCAACCCACACATCCTGACTAAAGGGGTTCTACCAAAATGTCAGCACAGATTTGTTCTTTGCACACATGACATTCAGGTAACTGCGTGCTTGACTGTTCCCTCATATAGGGCATCCTTGGTGCTTCATGCTTGGCACCAGATAAAGAGAAAAATGTTTTTGAGGGGCCAAGCTGAAATTTCTGCACCTGATAACTAAATAGCTTCTAGAAGTTCTCCCAGAACACTCTGAGGCCGCACATTTGTTACTAAAGACTGTGGGCTCAAAGTAGAAAAACCCAATGTCATTCAAAGAGCATAGATTCAGTTCTGAAATAATATTTACATTATCTAAGAAGAGCTCCAGCACTTATTTCACAATCATAAAATTTTCCATTAACCTGGTGGGTCAAACACCTCCCAGACCTTTAGATGGATAGCCAAGTGATAAGCTATGAGTACATTGATTTTGTACAGTTGGGGTTTTTTGCAAGCTAACTCATAGACCCTGGGAGAGAATCTCTTATTCACAGGAACTTGAGAAACTCCACAAGAGTTTTTTGGTTGACCTCCCACCCACAGTCAGCTCCCTCTTTGGCTGGACAAAATCAATCCCCAGCCCTGCATTGACTGATTTACACCAAGGAGGGGAATGAGCCATCAGTGTATTGCATGGTCAGAACTTACCGGTAAGTGTCCTAGCAGAGATGAAACACTATCAGATACATAAATAATAATCCCATCAGTGGTAAGAGCAATGAGAAAGCCATCTAGTGCCTAATGATAAGAGGCAGAAAAAAAAAAAAAGAAAAAAAACAAAAGCAAAACAGAATTATGCAATGGAAAAACTTAAAATATTTTAGACTCATTGCTTCTTTAGTGATGCTTCTAACAGCTTAAACCTAGCAGAAATTAATCAAAGAAATGACAGCTCAATGTGGAAAAATAAAAATTACACATGCTGTCTAATTCAACATTCTTTTTATATTCTTATTTTCTCATTCTCATTGTTATTAAATTGACTTGTATTTTTCACCCAGTGAGTATTTATTTAACATGAAGTGAGACAGTGATGCTTAGAATTTCAACACCCACACAATCCTGCTGACTTCAGTCACTTCATTATGTGCTCTGAATTACACAATAGTTAGCAAACTCAGTGCGTAAGGAGATGTCAGATATCATCATGGCAAATCCAGCTTTGTGGATGGATAAGCAGAGACAGAAAAATTATACAATTATGTATTTTTAGCAGTTTATGGACAATATGAAAAGGATCTAAAGCCTTATTTATCTTGCTTAAAGCATTGATTTGTAAGGTTAGTGACAAAACAATTTTAAGGCTTGTTCTGTTTCCCCTTCCTCATTCACAGTGGTTTCTGTCTCAGAGTTAAACCTCTCTGTCCCTTTTAAGTTACTGCCTGTGCTCTTCCCCTTGGATATTGTGTTCTCCCTATTGTTCACAATATCTCCTTGTACCATTTATGCAGTGTCTGTCCTTATTCTTCCCGAGCATCAAGATCTGGGAGGTTTAATAGCCGGTCAGCACTGTGCACAAAGCCAGCTCTTCTAAGGACACTGTTAGGTTGCTCTGCAGCTTTGCTACAGGGAGCTAAAGATGCAGCCTTCACCACCTCCCCACCTCACTGAGAGATCCTGCCTCTGCTCAAATTGAGTCCTCTCTGGAAAAAACCCACTGATTTTAAGCAAACTGTTCAGTGGTCTCCCAGAGTCCAGCAAGCCAGCAGTAATTACAGGGCTTGCTCTCCCCCACCACTTCCAATCTAAGGGGGGAATTTGTTTTGATTCAGCTGGAGCAAGCTAGTTTGTTTGGCAAGAGAGATTCCCAGAAAGAATGAACAGACTTTTCCAGAGGTGAGTCATGACATCCTGATGAAAAGGAATAACTAAGACACAGCAGCACCTCCCAGCTCAGCCCAGCATACACCCTGATTTTGGTGGGGCAAAGAGCAGCAGCTGCCCACGCAGGGCAGGAGATGTCCCTGCCAGAGGAGCAGCACAGACCCAGAGCCAGGGGAGAAATGTAGGTTTGGGGGATGTTTCTAGATCAGCAAAGCATTTTAGAGGTGGGAGTATAAGAGCTGTTTTCCTGAATGCACTTAAGGCAATTCAAGCAGAAGAGGCAGCACTCCCATCGAGAGGACAGCAGAGCAGGCAGCAGCTGCAGAGGCAGCACAGACAGTGCTGCCTGGCTAATGGGATGTGGGAGGCACAGAGCTGCCCTGCTTTTTTCAGGTCCTTTCAAGTTTTTCCTAAAACTGCCAGCTCTAGCAGCTCTTCTGAGAAAAGGAAATTCTCTTTTTCCTCTCTCATCAGGCCAAATCAGTTCTGATTCCCAAACGAAAAGCCATTTATCTTCAAGGAGAAACAACCTTATTTTTAATTCTGTGTCTGCAAAGCATTTAGTACAACATTGGGACCTACAGGTGAAGAAGAACTGTATATCCCTGAACTACTCCACTAAAATGATTATCTCTCACTAATCTATTTAATTTCTTCTTACCTCTAACATCAACTGGGTGAACTCCTCGTTGCTAAGAAATGAAGGCTTCCAGTCTTGTCTAATCTGACACGCTTCTGTCTGTGCTGTGATTTCTTAAAGAGAAAATATCAAAAAAGCAACATGAGTCATGCTACTTGGATATTTTTTTCATTTTCAAGTAACACTAGATTTCTTTAAAGAGGCTGTTAGAGGAATCATGCTCATATCATTCTTCACACAAAGCCTTCTTGCATGCAACAGTGATTTTCCATGCTATCGTGATACAAATGCGTTAGAAATCAAGAAAGGGAAATTGAGACATTTGAGGTGGCCTGAAGACAACCTTAAAAAATTAAGATCAATGGGCTAATTTTAGAGTAGTAGAGCATCCCTGTGAGCAAAGGGTGTCTGCAATTCTGGAGCTGTTTCTTTCAATTCTGGAGATGTTTCACAAGCTGCTCTTGTGAGTGCCCAAGCAGCAGGACAGGTTTATCATCTCCTAATCCAAGACACCTGGGGAGATGGCATGGAACACTCTCTCCTCTGACTTTTGTAATGGATGCTGTTCCTCAGCTTTTCTGCTTGGGAGTGCACAAAGCAGGCCAGAGGATGTGGAGGCCAGTGAGGGTAATGATGTATCCACAGCAAAAATCGCACAGCACTGCATCTTGTCAAATCTATGTTCAACTGGTCAGCAATGTATATGAATACAGCAATGTACCCAGCCCTAGCCACCTCCTGCCTTATTCTGCCCCTCACTCAGGCTCACGTGCTGCCTGGCTGGCATCTGAGATGCTTGGGAAGAACAGTTTGCATTTTCTGAGTGGCAGCTGGCTGCTGGGCAGCTGCAGGGCCGGCACCCTCCAGTACCTTTCTGTTTCTGTAGGAAGTCGATGGTCCTCTGCAGTATTGTGGACTTGTCCATCTTGAGAGGGTGGCCATGGCCCTGCAGCATCGTGCAAAGCTCTTTGATGAGGACATTGAACTGGTCTCTCCTCTTCTTCTCAGATTTGTTGCGTGATGCCCTGGGTGACAAAAACATAAATGCCACTAAGCAGAATGAAGGACCTACAGCACAAACCAGGGTGAGGTATCTACCCTGCCCCAGCAAAACACTTTAAATACAAGAATCTAAACTCTGCTGGGAATGTTTATTTGTTTAAAATTGGGCTTGCACACAAAGAGTTTGCTGTGCTTAGAGCCTTGTAGCAAGACTGAACTCACCAGCAGCAAGGAATACCTGGAGGTAACACATATTTGGGTTCATTTGGGAAAGATCATGTCCTGATAGACATTTCATATATTTCATTTCTCACTGTTTCAAAAGCAGTGATAGTGAAGATGTTGTGCGACAAATTCCTCCAGTAAGAGAGAATTATGTTCATGCATATTCATGTTTTGCTCACTTAATTTTTATCACTTAATTTTTATGAACTTTTGCTTTGCAGTTAGAACACACACACATAAAGGTCAAAATGTGAAGGATTTCTTTGATTTGCACTTGCAAAAGGAGCTTATCAAGAGACAGCGCTGTGCAGAGGCAACTGAACTGCAGAATAAAATCTTCTATGTGGTCTTGAAAATTTACTGCTGTGATGTATGAAATTGGGAACGTTACGGGTCTGGCTGCAGAACTACAACTAGTTTTCAGTTCACAAATCAAGAATATTTATTAGGTTTTTCCCCTCAATTAAAAACAATAAAGGAGAAAGCAAATCCATTTAGTTCCTTCCAAAGTGTTCTTTCCAGCACTCATATCTGAGATAACACTTTTCATACAACCTCTTCCAGTAGTAATTAATTTGCTTTACAAGTGAATTCATGATGATACATACTTCCTGTGATCCAGACTGAGGGTTGTGTGCAGAAAGCATTTCCATTCATATTCAGGTTGGCATTTGGATGTTCTCAGATCCAGCATTCATGTTCACAGCCATCTCTGTTTTGGCACTGGTGTCCAATGCCTAAACAGAGCTGAGCCAAGTGCTTCTCTGACAGGAGACTAAGTCAGGCCTGTGCTAAAGCAGGACTGCTAAGGGAACTCTACCCCAGGAGGGCAGTGCTGCTTGATGCCAATAAAATCACAGGTCAGTAATCCTGTTTCAAGATAATAAACGGCCATGGGAGAGCACGAGATGCTGAGGGCACAGCAGTGTAATTTAAGGACCACTCAGCCAGATAACCCATCGGGTTAGGGGTGGCCAAACCTTGTGAGAAGCCTAAAGGGTGACTTAAATTGTGCTGCTTTTGGTCAGCTATACACAGCCTGTAAACTGTGTGGGAACTTTGCCTCTGACACCAGCGGGGTCAAGTTCATTGTCAAGCACTGGACAACACAGCTCTCCTCCAGGAGTGCACGCTGTCGTACCTCTTTGCCCTGTCCTTCTCATCTTCATCCATCAGTTCGTTTACACAACACAGGGCTCTGCAAGGAAAAGACAGAAGCACTTACTGACACAAATTCCCTGTCTTGCTCAGAATGTCAAAACATGGAGCATAGTGGTTTGTACTTAAAAGACCTCCTGGATGCTTCAATCTTCCCTTTCCCAAATTCCACTCTTGGTATGTCTTTCCTTGCTTGTCCAGTCAGCTACTGAGGCATGAGAAGTGACACTGCTGCTACATGCCCAAATATCCACCTACAAGGACTTTAAAAGGAAAGATCTAAAAGCCAGCAGCCCCTCAGCCTGCCTGTGTCCTGCCCTCTGAGCCAGGGTAGGGAATCCTGCTGAAGCACCCACCTCTGCACAGGAATCAGCATCTTCCTGGCAAATGCAAGAGCAAAAAAGAGAGAAATCTGACCTGGTGTCTGCAGCAGGCAGCACCACAGCTGGTCCTGTTCAGGGCAATCCCATAGGTTACTGGTTGATTTCCATCACTGCCCACCCTGCTTGAAACATACCTGAGATTTCTTTTCCAGTGGAAAGACACAGGAGAAAGAAACTGTGCTAATCCCCTAAAGGATTTGTGTTAGTCAACAGCAGTGTATTATCAGGATATCTCAGAGATGATGTGACAGACAGGTTCATCCAGAGCATCCTGCAGCCAATGACTGCTGCTTGCACTGGTGGACTTCTCCCACATCATCTGAGCTGTGTCCTGGGATTCATACCCAAGGCTTCCATTTAAAATATCCTCACCTGGCACTAACCAGGGAAGGAGAATAGTTGGCAACAACTCCCAGTAAGGACACAGTACTCTAAAGCCCATTAAATGATGGGAAATTCAACACAAGGGTAACTTCTCCACTGGTGACTTGCTTTCAGTGACCCAGTGGGCTGAGTCTGAGGGACAGAGAGCCAGGGAGGTGCAGGTGAGGCAGCTGCTGTCACTCCACACCACATTGCCCAGTTCAGCCTTGCTGGATTGCACCCCTTCAGATACCTCCAAAGAGGCAATCACACCCATCCCACCATCAGATCTGATCTGCCCCCCATCTCCACTGAGCACTTTCCCTGAAAACACCCCATGCTGCCCTGAACTCAAGGGGCATTTTTCAGTAGGTACATCCAAAAGATTTCCTCTGTTTAGAGACTACTCCACGCTCAAACAAGTTGGTAGCTATAAAAATAACACAAAACAGAACCACCCACAACTGTCAGGAAGTCAAGGATGCTGCTCACAGCAACAGCTACAAAATTTTATCCTTCCTTCCGTGCTCCAGGGCAGGGATCTCCCTCCCTGCAGATGACCTGGGCAGAAGATACTGTATGAATTCTTCTGTTATGAATGCACTCCACAGAGAGGGAGTGGTTCTCACTGCCTGAGTCACCAAAAGCTACAAGCCAAATTAGAAATTACCTGTTCTATTCCTCAGATTCATCAGTCCAGACTGACAGAGTGGGATTAGCACTTCTTATCACCATGTAAATAGAGACGGAGAAAAATTAATCCTGGAAGGAAAAGCAAGTCCAGTTAAAACACAGTTGCAGTTAAGACAGCCCAGACAGCTGCAATCACTTCAAGCTGAGGAAAGTCTACCACCACAAATTAGAACCATGCTCAAGTATGACTAATGAAAGCTCAGCAAAGCAATGGGAGTTGGACCAAGTTCTTGGGCTCCTGGCTCTGTGGGCACCACCTACTGCCACAGAAGACACCTGGGAAGGCCAATGTGACCTCTCAAGTCCAAAAAGCTCTGTGACCCAGCAGGGTGGCAGAATGGCCCTCCTGGCTTGGGGCCACTGAGGAGCAACTGGAGTTCTTCCAAAATGCAGTTCACCCGGTCTGCTGTGAAAACCAGAAGTATGACCTGTACCCCATCTATCAAATCTTGCAACCAAAACCTCCTTCAAGACAAACATGATCAGCAAAGTCAGCACAAGCCACAACCACCCACCTGCGAATGGGCTCAAGGCCTCCCCTTGATACTTGCTACTGACAGGACACACAAAATCTAGGGAAAATATCATGTAACTCCTGACAGCCCAGTGAAGCTGCAACTGGAAACAACACCTGCATAGCAAACTTAAACTCTGCTGTGTCTCTGTTCTCACAGCAGTGCTACCCCAGTCATGCTTTACTCCACTTCAAAGGGAGCATGTGATCTTATCTGTTACTCTATTCAGCTGAGGCTCTTATCCCTGCTGCTCATCCCTCAGTGCTGTTTTATCAAAATCACTCAGTTGTTTCTTCTCTAGAAGAATATTCCCTACAGAAGATTTGGTGACTGTGGATAAGTTCAGAGATACACAGGTATAAAGAAAAGTATTTTTAAAGCAATGGGTTAAATTATGAAAAAATGCTTGTGGATACACACAAAGATCTATAAAAAAATTTTCAGGGAATGTTCTTTGTGCGCAGACTTGACCATGCAAAAATTCAGCTAAAGAAAAGGATTTTCCCCAAGCTTGGAGCACAAAGCATTATTTTGTAGAAACTGTATTTTATGGAAAATTTGCCCATAGGTTGTCTAACAGCTGGAAGCTCCCGGGAAGCCTGGTGGGTTTTCTGCCTCATTAGAGGTTGGCCTCCCACCCAGCTGGAACAGCAGCAAGTTGAGGGTCACCAAGAGTGTCAACAGTACAGCTAATGCCCACTGAGCCCCAGCTGGGAAACGAAGCCTGGGTTCTCCAGTCTCCAGGAGGAGCCATCACTCTGCTGCAGTCCCCCAGATGTGGGCTGCCAGGGACAGAGGAATGAGGATTCCTTCTGCATGTGAGCAATGCCCTCACCAACACCAGACTTGGAGGAGCTCACAGAATCAATGGCCACAAAAGAATTCACAGGCCCAAGCACACGGAGCAGCTTTTTGCATGATGCAGCAGGACGGTGAGCAAGAAAAAGTCTTAGCAGAAGACACCTAAGGACAAAATAATCTTAACTGGATTAAGCACTTCAGGACTGCATTTAGCTAAGTGCTTTTTGTCTTGTTACAAGACAGAGCTAAATATAGTAACCAGAATACTTAAGAATAGTTTCATAAGGGTTGTATACATTCCTCAGCCAGCTAAGACACTTAGCACTACTGACAGCAGTATGTCTGCAGGTTAAGAGTATTTTAAATAGACCCAGATAGAATCTCTTTGACCTTAACTGCATTAACCAGAGGGATCAAAATTTATTTATTGCCTCCTGAAAATCCCCTTCTGTAACACTTTTGAGAGAGGGATTCCTGAACTCTGTGGGCAGGTAGAGAGGAAACTTGTCAGCGCTGCTGGCATTGTTTCTCACCCCACCTGCAACAGGTGAGGATCAGCACATGAGCAATGCACATCCATCACAGCTTAATGCCCCCTGTAAAGGGAAATTATTTTTTCCTTCCTTTGTACAGGGAGTCTCAAAAACCACTCAGAGTGTTTTAAGGGTACATTATATTTCAGACTTTTCAAATATCATAGCATTTGAAGTTGTTTCCAGGGTTACAGAAAGGGTAATGTAGCCAAATGACAGCCTTAACAAGACAAATGGACTTCGCAGTCAACAACTAATAGTTAAAGCATTACTCTATGCTATCTGCTATATTCTGGCACATTTTTTACTAAAGAGAGAATGGCAGAGGGAATTTTCTGTTTTGTAGAACTATATGACTCCAGGAGCTATCTAAAATCGCAAACCTGTGAGTAAAGAAAATGTTTATTTATTGACTTGCTGCAAACCATCAAAATATTAACATTACCTTGGGATAATTCTTAATGGAATAGTCAGACTTGTGCTCTGAAACTAGCAGTTCCTATGAACATCTCATTATAGGCTAAATTTTAGTTATTTGGTTATGTCACTCATGGCAAAGCAAAGATATTTCTATGAGAGATGCTGCCCATTTCTTTGTGATCAGCAATGAATAAAGCTTTCATCCATCACCTAAAATTGTCCCTGAACCCAGATTATTTGATTGCTTTTCCCAGCTATAACAACTGGTCTAATGAAAAACATTCTCTATGCATAGAAGCTTTGTTCTGCTTCTATTTGAGTTTTCATAAAATTTTGTATTAAAGTAACATACAGCAGTTAGGGAGTCTTCAAATCTATACCATAGGAAAAACTTTAATTATGGAAATGTGCTATGCTAATAATTTTCACAGACTTTGCATGCAATGAATTCATCAGAGAGCCCTGAATTACAAGATGCAGCACTTTGTGGCACGATGCAGTCACAAATCAGAGAGATAATGCATTCCCCGGCAATCTGATTTACATGTCAGTATGCCAACGTTTCATTATTCTTGAAGCAACAGGAGGGCACGACTGTGGTTGGCAGCAAAACAGCTGATTTCATTTTTAAAAGGCAGAATTTAGCCTCCTCAGTAAAGTGCTGGCTCAACTATAAGATGCTTATGTAGATGGCATTTGAAAAACCAAACAGTGTGGCTGAGTCCCTATGGTGGCTTAGCACAGGAAGGATCAGCACCCCTGCTGATGCCCAGCAGCCCTGAAGTCCTGGCCCTGCTGCCAGCGCTGTGCCACCCTCCCCGTGCTCCCAGCCATCCTCCTGTCACACACAGGCAGATGTTACAGATGTTTGTCCCAGTGTCACAGCGCGTGGGCGAGAGCGGCAGCGGCACAGCTGTGGCACTGCCATCTGCCAGAGCACCCACAGGGCACAGCTCACCACTGCTGTGCCACAGCCCAGCAAGAAGGCACCACACAGAAACACAGAGACTGAACCAGGCGTGGCAAAGGAGTTGCATATCTGTGTTATTTGATCTGCTTGCTTAAATTTTCCTGCCTCTACTTCACCCTCTCCTTTCCTTGCCATGCCTTGCCTTCTGTTGTTCTTCACTCTTCTCTGCCCTTCCCTCACTTGTCCCCTGTACTTAACATCCACTGGATCACAATTCAGAGAATTGGATCTCTTTTGAATATGGTTTCTTTCCATCTTGATGTTTCTTATACCACCTGCCTTCATCTTTCCATTGCTTTTCCTTCTCCATGTTCCTCACTTTCTTCTTCTCAAAAGAGAAAAAATGTACAATAATCTCAGTTTTGACAACCACTGGGGGATTGTGAAAGCCATTTCACTGGGGGACCCTGGAACCTCAGAACCAGGTTTGAGGCACACATGCCTGACAGGTCCTTTTTAGGGACACTGCCTGAGGAATCAGGCTGCTGGGGATCTGCTGGGCTTTGGCTCCAAGGACTCCTACGCCCAGCTCCAGCAGCACTGGCTCCTGCCCTGCCTGACAGCTCCCAATCCCAGCTTCAGACCCTCTCTGGAGGAACTGGGATCTCCCTCAGGTCAGTGGCAGAGCTGTGCAGCTCCAAGCTTTCCACAAACACCACCGTACACCCCAGGGTGGCTGGGGGAAGTGCTCCAGCACAGCCCAGCCCTGCACAGCAGCAGCACAGCCTGCAGCTCTGGGGCTGCCCTGACTGCACCTGTATCCTCACAGCATCTTTGTCTGCTGGAACAAAGTGGGTGATGCTGGTCACTGGGGCAGGGTGTCACTGTAAGACATGAAATGACGCAGATACACTGTTGTTTTTAAGGTAAAAAAAAAGGGAAGTTTATTTTTTGACTCTATAGATTCTTAAAAGTGACAGTGGATTGGAGGGTGAAAGTGCCACCTCTCCAATGACACTGGACAAACCAACAGTTTATTAAATTTCCCTTCTTTTATAAAAGAATGTAAAACAATAAGTTATTTACATAAAGTGTGTGAGAAAGTGTGTTATAAGAATGTAAACATTAAAAAGTTTAATAAATCTTTAAAAAATCAGGGTAACAGGAGGGACCAAATGTTCTGTGCTTCCCCTGTGCTAACCTGCCAGAAGTGGACTTTTTGTGCTACCATTGTAACTGCTGCATCCCAATGCACTCACTTATCTGTAGCATACCCTCCCCTGGTTTATTGAGCTCTAAATTTAGCTTGTTACCTGTGACAGATTTATGACTACCTTCACTACAGCAGTAACAGCTTCATTCAAAAGCTAAAAAGTGTCCAAAGAAAATGGATTATACAAAACAATTACACCATAAAAAAGGCTGTAATGGAACACTGTGATTCAGCACAAAAGTGAAATGAAAGATACATGCAGGAACAATGGTGGTGTGTTGACTTTTTGGGGTTTTTTTTTGTTTGTTTGGGTTTTTTTCTGGTTGTTGTTTTTGGTTTTTTGTTTTGTTTTGTTTTTGTTTTTTAACCAATATATGGTGCTTCTGCAAAACGCAAGGCAGAAAAGGATTAAAAACTAACAGCTACTTGAAAAGAAAAGATGATTACTGTAACATTTTGCTCTCTAGGATTTTTGTCAGATCCTGGAGAAAATAGCTGTCCAAGTTTGCTCTATTCTAGCAAATTGCTGAACCTTGCAGGGTAAAGATACAACATTGTAGAATATTATTCAAAATGTCTCTGGGGTTTCTGTAACAAGAAGAACATGCATCTAATTAATTCTACCAATTTGTCTAATGGCCCCTTAAAATTCCCAAAACACGGCAAAAAGCAGAATG